CAACCCTACATGCAACCGTAGGATGATAGGCAACCCAACACGCAACAGTATGATGACTACGCAACCCTTCGCGCAATCGTATGATGACAACGCATCCCTTCACGCAACCGTATGATGACTATGCAATCCTACACGCAACCGTTTGATGACTGCGCAACCCTACACGCAACCGTACGCAACCCTACACGCAACCGTATGATGATAGGTAAGTATGTCATTTGTTTCGTGGACTTTTCCGTTCACTGTTTTCAGTGCGGCCAATGGAGAGAACTCTCACTAAACCGAACTAAGCCGTCCAGCCCTCGTCCGGTATTGAAAGGAGAGCCCAGATTTATTCTGGTCAGAAAATAAAGTCCTTGCTGCTGGCAAACAAACTCAGACTAATCTTGCTACCCAGCACCTGTACATAGGGCATCTACAACAGATGTGCTTGCCAATATCAAGAATATATTTTGATACACTTGACTTTGACTCTGTCAGTTTCTGGTCCTTGCCTATTGTATCTTCTTGTCTATTCTATGATCATATGTTACTTGTCTATGTGATCTTCTGGTCCTGGTCTATGTATGTAGGCTCTTCTGGTGCGTCTCTATGTCTGTGAGATCTTCTGGCCTTTTGTCTATGTGATCATATGGTACTTTTCTATGCCTATGTGATCTTCTGGTCCTTTTCTGTAATAATGTGATCATCTTATAGTTTTCTACATCTGTGTAATCTTCTGGTACTTGTCTACTACTAAACCTAGTGGAGATTTTCCATCCCCCTACTTCCCACTTTTCCTCTTATGAATATCAAGAATATATTTCAATCCTGTCAATAAAAAACAGCCTAAAATGGGTACCAGGCAAAGTCTTAGGAAGTAAAGGTGGCTGGCGTGATAAGCACATCACCTGTTGAGAGTCAATGGGTCTAAAACAAATATAAGTCTAGTATCATACACATACTATATCACTGCCAGGAAATGGGTTATTTTACTTACAATGAGAGTGTACTTTAAAAAAAAAAATTAGATTACCTAAACGCTTCGTCAGTAGGCACAAAAATGGTGAACGGTCCATATCTTGTCAAAAGTTTATCATAAAACTTTGAAGTTATGTTGCGCATATACCAAATATTGTCCTTGAACTGTGCATCTTGAGTTGACAGCTCTCTAAGCATCTGGGGGGAAAGATATGGTCACTTAAACATGTAAAGTATGAAATGCATGGAAACAGCGAAACAATTACCAATTATTTAAAAATTAAGAAAGAAATGAAGACTTGATTTTGAAAGCGAAATGTACACATCCTGTTGTGTTCACTAGAGGTTTTAACTGTTATATTCTCTATTGTTACTTCTTTCTGCAGCATCTCTGAGTACAGAGGAATACCTGTAAATTTATTTCTTAAAAATCTTTAAAAGTAGTAGTAATTTTTTGAAAATATCCTGTTAAACCCTGAGAGTTAAAACTGGGATATATAGTGTTAATCGAGTTCTCCGAATATTTTTTGTTTGTTTGTTGTTATATTGATATATTGCATAATTTTGCTTTCATTTGGTTTGTTATTATGATACAAGCTGTACTATGATTAATTAGACAATCTCGTTAACTCCCAACAGTGCTTAACAAAAGAAATGGAAATTGATGATGATGACAACTAACATTTTAAAAACATGTTGGATTTAATCTTCAAAAGTCTAAAGTGTTACAAAAATGCTGTTTATGATGTTGTAAGCAGAAACATAAAGACTTTTAAAAACTTACAACCAAGAAAAACAAACGTAGAAATTCAACTGAAATTATCTCAGGATAATTATCTTGAAAACATTAGCCCAAGCTGCACGCTTTGTGAATTTAAAGAGTAAATTTCAGAACTAGGACGGAGAGTAAGTATAAATTATGGTGTGAACACACATGCACAAAAAATGTTTAGTTGCAAGAAACAAAATGAGTTGATCCAAACCTACTTTATGATTTCAAAAGAAGCATCCCAAAAACTCAGTTATCAAATCTTGTATAGACGAAGGCGCATGAACCATATTTATAATTAGATGTAAAGTCAACTATCTAATCCTGTATGGACAATAGCTCATGACCCCCATTTATAATAAGATGTAAAGTCAACTATCTAATCTCCCCCCCCCCCCCCCCCCAACATCCCAAATCTGACCTAGGAACCTACCTACATGCAGATAGTAGACAGCTAAAGCTGTTGATCTTGGGACAGCTGGTCTACTACCACATGTGGGTATTGTGTTAACTTGATAACACTGATTCATCAGCTTCTTGGTCTACAACTGTTTCACTACCACATGTGGGTATTGTGTTAACTTGATAACACTGATTCATCAGCTTCTTGGTCTACAGTTGTTACACTACCACATGTGGGTATTGTGTTAACTTGATAACACTGATTCTTCAGCTTCTTGGTCTACAACTGTTTCACTACCACATGTGGGTATTGTGTTAATTTGATAACACTGATTCATCAGCTTCTTGGTCTACAACTGTTTCACTACCACATGTGGGTATTGTGTTATTTTGATAACACTGATTCATCAGCTTCTTGGTCTACAACTGTTTCACTACCACATGTGGGTATTGTGTTAATTTGATAACACTGATTCATCAGCTTCTTGGTCCACAACTGGTTTCACACTACACATGTGGGTATTGTGTTAATTTGATAACACTGATTCATCAGCTTCTTGGTCTACAACTGTTTCACTACCACATGTGGGTATTGTGTTAATTTGATAACACTGATTCATCAGCTTCTTGGTCTACAACTGTTTCACTACCACATGTGGGTATTGTGTTAACTTGATAACACTGATTCATCAGCTTCTTGGTCTACAACTGTTTCACTACCACATGTGGGTATTGTGTTAATTTGATAACACTGATTCATCAGCTTCTTGGTCTACAACTGTTTCACTACCACATGTGGGTATTGTGTTAATTTGATAACACTGATTCATCAGCTTCTTGGTCTACAACTGTTTCACTACCACATGTGGGTATTGTGTTAACTTGATAACACTGATTCATCAGCTTCTTGGTCTACAACTGTTACACTAACACATGTGAGTATCGTATACAAATACAGTAACTGACCTCAATTATATTTCCACTACAAGCTTCACCAGTCCATGAGTAGGTTCTATGACAAACACACCTGTGGTGGACAGTAGAAACAACAAATAAAATATGTCAGACACACATACTCTTTCAATATGAAACTAAATACAATTTACTTTGCTAATATGTTTCAAATCAACAAATTGTTTGCAAGCAGTGCACTCCTGTGCTATGATTCTAAATATGTTAATTTTGAAATCATGGACTGCATGCAGCACGAGTTGACGCTTTCGCACCCAAAATTAAAGCTCTTTTTTCTGGCTTTTACAGGTTTTTGATTGACATTTGATTGACCCCATCTGCCTTGTCATGTATTAATTCCCCACCCAGTGGTTCACATCCAGCCAGTCTGTCTGCCTGTTCATTACCCACCATGCTGGCATTGCCTGGAGAAAAGATCTAAAGCATGCTCAATACCTGTGACCTTTCCAGTAAAGTTTGTCCCTTTGCTCAAAGCATCCATGTTTTCACCTTTCTCAGCATGCTTTCAGAGTCTGTTACAATTACGACATGTGTTTGCATCTTGTTCGCTAGCCAGCGGAGAGCTGCAGTTACAGCCTTCACCTCCATTCTCATGCTAGATTCAACAACGGAATCAGTAGAGAATGAAGATTATTATGGCCTGGTGAGAACGAGGCACCTGGGTGTAACCTGAGGGTATGGCCGGCTCACTACACTCTGAGGAAAGACAAGATGGACATATAACAAGACTGTGACCGGTACTATCAGTATTGAAACTCTGTGCTGGCTGCTGAGGATGAGGAGCATGCAGTGGAATGCGCCAAGTGCTGTGATGTCAGGTCTTAACTCAGCTCAACTCAACTCTGATTGACATGATATCTTTTGACATAGCCCAGTACGCCTGTATAACAGCTTTGGTACTGGCTACATGTGAATAATTTGTAGTGGATATAATTATATTTACCCTAAAATCATTTTATGATATTATTTGTGGTTAAAAAATGTGTTAGATTTTTACAAATTATGGATTGACCAAGACATAATTTATTTTCATTATTAGTCTCAGAAGGTAGGAAGTCAGTTAATTCTTTATTTAATGATTACTTCCCTTCATGTAGAAATAAACCAAAAACCTTTGAGGTGCTTGAAAACATTTGTTTATTCATGTGATGTCATCAAAGGAGCAGAAGAGTTCACACTGTCATATCTTCTTGGCAGTCTAGGGGTCTCACCCTGAACATTTATAAAAACTAAGATTTAAATGTCTTCTACTTCTTCTTCTTCTCTCCTAGTTTCTTAGCTTAGTTTCTGAGAATTGTAAGGATGGTTTTTTTTAAAATGAAATTTGAAAAGCAAAAAGGTAATTTAATACAGGCTGAAAGTTTTAAAACTGTACAACAAATGCAAGAGAATGAGTTTTTTTATTTGCTAAAATTATGCAGACAAAAATTGGCATTTGCCTAGTACTTTTTTTTAAACAAACTTTGAAAGGAAAAAAAAGTCATTTAAACAGATTTATTCTGGGATTAAAGTGTTAAAACTGTGCAAGAAATGCAAGAAGGTGAATCCAAAATTATGCCTATGAAAACTGGCATCTGTCGAGTACTAAGTGATGTTCAACCTCACCAGGAGCACACAATAAGGGATAAACAGTTGGTGACATAAAGTGCCACTATTTGGATGAGAATTCCCTGGGAAAAGTCCCTGAAACTCCTTCAGCTTTTAGGTTATATTAGAGCTCCCAATGAAAGCCTGGGTGGGGCTTTAAAATAAACAAAAATTGCAGGTAATTAATCATGTAAACATGGGAGCAGGCACCATGGACAAAGTATATGTTTACATTTTGGAAGTTTCTGTACTTTATTTACTTTAAACTATGAGTTAAAAATCTAACACTGGAAATAACAGGCAAGCCTACCTATGTTTCAGAGGTTCTGCCGTCTCACAGTAAGCAAAGAGACCACATAATCCAGGGCTACAGATGTCCTGCAGTTTGCAACTTGTCCCATCTCCGTCTCTCTCGTAGCCCAACTTGCACTGACATTTGACCTGCTTGAAGTTAAAGAAACAAAACATGTTTCAAAATATACTTTTTGATTGTTTTGAAATCCATTATCAAGCACTGCTACAGTTGTAGCTGTCAACATATGAGAGTTTTGGTTCATGAAGATGATATACTATGGAAGTTGGCTGCAGTACATCCATTGTGAGGAGCAAGTCCCTTTCACAGTGGGATTCTAGCAATAGTCTGACAAATGAGAAACCCTGAGAATACTATAACTACAAGGTGGTTAAAAATGAAATCAGTGATGTCATAATAATGCCACCACACTTTTGACATGCACTGACAAGGAGCAGCTATCTATTATCCTTTTTTTTTTTTTTTTTTTTACATCAGTGTAGGAGTTGAACCTGCAAAAAATTCAATACTGTATGAAGGTCAAGTATGGTGTTCATCTGCACTGTGATGTCACATGCTTAACACTCCTGACATTATTAGCAACAATAGGTTAACAGGTTACAAGATAATGACATCTTTATTGTAATTGCCATCATACTTTTAAGGTTTTCTTTTGAATCCATCTCATGGAATGCTTTTTAATGGAACTGAAAAATTAAAAGAATGAAAGCAGATCCTCAAAAATACACGAGGAGAAAGGACGAGGAGAAAGGGACTAGAGAGTGCGGTTAAAGAATTCAGGAGGACATAAGGTGAGTTGCATGCAATAGTAAAAGATGTGACAACTTGGCGAGAGTTTGTTGAGTGCTCCAGTGAGAGAGGAAGGCCGACAGAAGAAGCCACACCATAAAGATGATAGGTCAAAGTGGCGAAGGACCTATCCCCTCCCCCTCCCACCACCCCGAATATTCTCTTATCTGGCTGGTCAAGCATGAAAAAAAGATTTCTTCCATGGGTAAAGTGACTTCAGCCTTTGTAGGTGATAGTTTAAATCTCACTGTGCGCAAAGCTTTTAACTGGTTACGTTGTCCTCATATTCTTTACCCTGTCTGTGTTAAGCCCTAACCATTTCTAGTGAATGTACAAGTATTTCTTATGCTGAATCTAGTGAACCCCTCTCATGATTATTGATAAACATCAGTAAAAGCAGGCAAAGGACTTTAAACATCTAGTAAAGTAAGTAAAAGACCCTGTTCCACACCCTCAATCAAACTGGGCATATAGGGCTAGACCTAAATGTTATAGATCAATCAGCATTTATTTCTGATGACAATACGGGTACCCACTCAATGTTTGGTGGAATTAATAGCTGGTTTAATAGCTGGTACCTACTTAATGCTTGGTGGACTTAATACCTGGTACCCAATCAATGCTTGGTGGACTTAATACCTGGTACCCACTCAATGCTTGGTGGACCTAATACCTGGTACTCACTCAATGCTTGGTGGACCTAATACCTGGTACCCACTCAATGCTTGGTGGACCTAATACCTGGTACCCACTCACTGCTTGGTGGACCTAATACCTGGTACCCACTCAATGCTTGGTGGACTTTTTAAAAGTCTGACTCCATCAGGACCTGAACCCACGACCATCTAATCTGTATGCGAGTGTCTAGCCACTACACCATGTTGGCTCCAACTTTACATATCTATGGAGCATTATTTAAAACACAACAAAGATACAATAAAGCCAGTCAGGTTAAAGGACTATTGGCACTAGTATTTTAATGTAAGCACGTGCACATAAACACTTAAAGAGCACTGTTCAACATAATAGTCTTACCAACACCATACTATCAATGTCAAACATGGACACTGTCATAAAAAGAAAAAAAGAAAATAGTTATGACAGAAATGAAATGTTTACGACTTAGGAGTAATAATATCAGAAAGAAATGTAACTCACCTGTATTTCATAATTTACAGATATGTATACCTGTATTGTGTAATTTTTTTTTCAACTTACAGATATTACACGAATATTTTATAACTTGAAAAATATGAAACCTAATGTGGTCTAGCCTACAGAAATGATAATAAATTTGCTCGGATATTTAAACAGTATGTGTGGTATATTTGACAGATACCTGGGATGGGCTCTGAGAAATGCAGTCTTGTGTGCTATCACAGCCACCATTATTGACCAGGCATGGGTCTAGTGGAATACAGAAATTCCCCAAGTTATGATAGCCTTCATTGCAGACACATTCATATGTGCTCGGCCCAGTGTGCAGGCACTGACTGTTGGCTCCACACAATGAGTCAGATTTATTACATGGATTGTCATCTATTGGAAAAGAAATGAAAATGTAAACATTTCTTAAAAAACTTTATACAAAGAAATTTTTTAAGAAAAATTCATAACAAAACTGGGTAAATAAATGAAGATTTTCCACACCTTCAGGCATATTGGGCATATAAGGCTAAACTTATATTTTATAGACCAATTGACACTCAGCGGGAGGTGTGGTCAGCATCACTCCAGCTGCCTTTATTTCCCAGTCTTTACCTGGTACCCATTTCAGGCTGGGTCGACCTGGAAGCCATCAGTTTTTGTTTTCTTTCAAATACCAGCTGCATTAGGACCAGAATCCATGCATCACATAATTACTGGACTAAAGAGATACCAATAAATTTGAGCTTGATAACTGATCACAAAAAGTGTAAAAACTGAGTGAAATGTTTTGAACAGACATACACAGTTATAAAAGCAAACTCAATAATAGTTTATAATGAAAGCTCAATAAAAAGAAATATTTAGGAATGGTAGAATGTTTGTTGAGAATGATGGAAGTGATCAGGTGCTGACCAGGTGGTCATCAGATTGAACTGAACAAGCTGGCTTTAGACAAGCCCAGGTTCGTGAAACAACATATGTAATTTTAGGCATTAAAATAAAAATAAAAAGCAGAACAAGTGTTGATCTATTAATACTGCCTTTACTAAAACTAATACTACTATTGCTAACATGACTACATTTACTGCTTCTACCTCCCATATCTTGAGTAATGTAATGATAATTTATATCTAATAAAGAATTGTAAAACAATACTACAAGATATTCACTATTTTTAATGCTACTCGGGAGTCGCCGTGGCGTAGTGGCTAGACGCTCGGAAGGTCATGGGTTCGCTTCCTGGCAGAGCCAGACTTTTTTCAAAAATGACTTTGATTCCCAGGTCAACCCAGCCTTGAGTGGGTACCAGGTGCAGTCCCAGGAAGTAAAGGCAGCCGGTGTGATACTGACCACATCACCCATCTTGTGCCGATTGGTCTATAAAAATATAGGTCTAGCCCTATATGCCCAATATGCCTTAAAGGCTTGGAAAAAGGACCTTACTTGCTATACCTTTACCTAATGCTACTCATTACCAATTATAACAAATATCACATTCATGTTGCTGCTGCTGCTAATGGTGTTGAGGATGTTGATGATGATGATGATAACAAAGATGAGGCTATACAAAACAAGAACCTGAATAGGAACAACATAAATATTGATATTTCAGCTGTTGTTGATGTTCTTGTTTCTATTTTTGGTAGTTAAATTTCTACCAAAACTTTTGAAGCAATAAATTCAGTTATTACCTTGAAACATGACTGTACCTGGTACCCACTAAAAGCCTGGTTGACCTTGGAGCCGGGGTAATTTTTTTTTAAATCTGATTCCATCAGGGCCCGAGCCCACAACTTTCCATTATGTATCTACACACTGGAATCTTCCACTAGCAGATGAGGCCGGGAACAATCAAAACAGCAGCAGATACAGGACATTGTTTTTCTTTAAGTCACAAACAATGTCTGAAATGAGATCTTTGTTGTAAACCTTAACTATCACATAATGTTTCTCTAGCCTTTTACATTTGGCCGGAGAATGCACACACACACACACAAATCTGGCATCTCTCAGTTGCCGCTTCCTTTGTGTGTTTAACCTTTTTTTTTAAATAATGCCCTGAAATTCTTCATATTGATTATTTTATCATTGGTATCTGCCTATGAAACTTTCTGGAACTGAAACAGTTTAAGACAATGTGAGGATAAAAATGCATGAGGTGTAAAATCTGGTTCAGAATTCCATCAAGCAGAGATAAAGATGATGTTTTTAAAAATTACTTGCTACATAATGAATGTGACAGACCCAAACAATGTACATCGTGGTAAACCAATACTCACGAGCACAGCCACCATTGCCAAAAATACCACTGTTGCAAGCACCCAGGGCACACATACAGTCTGAAGTGGAAAGGAAAATGTTTCATTTCATTAAATGCGATAAGGTCTGGATGTGGCATAAAATGTCTGAAGAAGTCGGTTTAAACTCAATAGTTATGTTCTGTTATGATATCACAATTGACATCACTACAGCCTGAACATTCCCATGTGTGCTCAGCCCTCCGATGCAGCAGCCACTGGTACCCTTCCTGGCTGTTCAAAAGAAAAACTGGTTATAATGTCTCCTATCTTGACTTAGAAGACGGTGTGGAGATGCTTCACCAAGTTATACTTCCATGTCATATAATCATGTTAGCATTAGAGATTTATCATTACTAGCCAACCGTGTTCACAGTAGAGTACGCAGAACAGGAACCTTTGTATTTATGCTACCATACAAAATAACATGTATTCAATTAATAGCTATTTGGTTTTGATTGTAAAGAATCACTCCCCAAGCACATTATTATCATCACTAGTGCTACATACTATACAAATGAAACAAACAGAAACTCAGTGCAGTCCACAAACTCTATCCTAATGGTGATGACCCAAATGTGTGTCCAGTATTCAACAAACACATTTGGGTATGGTGAGCATGGAGACATTAAAACTACTGCTGCTGAATGGGAGGACAGAGTTCAAATGGGTTGAGCTAATGTGCTAGGATGTCAATACAGATAATAAGTCAGAAGTAACACATGCTATACATTTCCTAATTTTTGTGAGTAGTTTTCCTAACAGTGACATTATGTGTGGGCAGCGGTTTATTCTGCCTGCTAATTGTTATATTGAGAGAATGTTGGATGACAGAGAGGTAAAAACTGTATACACAAGCGAGTTAAATGGTCACAGACCATGAGGCAGACCAAGAAAACGATGGAGAGATAATGTCCAGAGAGATCTGCAAACACTTGGTGTCACCAGCTGGAAAGAGAAGGCCAACCTGAGAGTTGAGTGGAGGCATGTGATATCTGCAGTACTGAATCATAAGGTCTGGAATGCTAAAGAAGGAGAAGATTTGTTATTTTCAACTGATGAATAATTGTTAATATGAGCAGAATGTACAATTCTTCTCTGAGTTTTTTGCTTTTGGTTTCTGTTTTAACTATTATCTATGAAGGTGAGGTGTCGGATCCACTACCCTAGGATCAGAGGGGAGTGTGCAATTCTTTTCTGTGTGACTCTCTGATTTTATCACAAAGAGATTATTGAATCCAAACTATGCAAATTAATCATTTTCTGTTCATTTAAAAAAGCATCAACTTTACAAACCGAAACTCATTTGTTAAAATAAGTATAACTGTGAAATAATATGTTAACATATCGCACACAAACATTGTGACAAAATTATCTACATTAAATTATGTTAGATTCACACATTACACAAAACAGATTTAGTGTTTCTCACCCTGGGAACAGTTTGGTCCACATTTGGTATTATTTCTGCACAATTCACAGGCTTCTCCTTCAAACTCTGACTGGAATGTATGAAACAATGCAAATAAATAAATGAATTTCATGTGTTCTGATTTGTTTTTATTCTTTAGATTTTTGAAATGCCAGTTGGCATTTGAACACATAAAATGGTGTTAATAAAGCTGGTGCTACTGAAGCTGTTTTATAATTTGGGGATTCTGTACTAGGCCTCATTTTTTGTTAAATAGTCGGCTCTCCTCCGAACTTCGTCCCTATATTATGGCGGCCAAACAAATATCCTAACAGGGCCTCAGTCACATGTAAAATAACGAGCCAATATTATCGAGGGCAAACAAACACTCCAACAGGGTCTCATCGATATGTTAATTGCGGATCTCTTTCTGGTGATTATACAGCACTATGGACAGTCTCCGTCACGCCGTGCAAGTGGCGTGGTTGGAGAGTGGGGGGAGGCTAAGCTAGATGGCTGGGGCTCAAGAGCAAATAAATTTGAGGAAGTTGCAGAGATGTGGTAGCTGCTGCTCAAGAGTCCTAGCCATCTAGTTTAGTTCCCCATCCGTGCCGCGGGTAGCGGTGCAGTTTATACGCTCGCTTGGCGGTGAGTTTAATCTGAAGAACACTTTTGCTTCCCTGCGTCTGAGCACTTGGTCTAACTGCCATGTCACTATTATTGTTTGTATTGCTGCATTTCTCAAAATTGACAGTAATCCTAGTTTTGCCATGATGTGTTCGTCGGAAGAAGAGTGCATTTTATACACGACCAAGGCCCTGTTATGGTATTTGTTTGGCTGCCATAATATGGGGACGAAGTTTGGAGTAGAGCCAAATAGTCAATGATGTGGTCTTTATTACAGGAACAACAAATGAGACAAATATCAGCAAGAATATATTATTTCATTATTTTGAAAAAGATATAGAGAATGCTACTGAAGCTTTCAGAAAAGTACAGAATCATTTACTACGACTATAAAACAAAATAGCAGAGCAAATCATTTAATTCTGCCTCAGAGCGGGGCAAATCAGACTGAATAATCATTTGCTTCCCATTTATGTCTGCATGGATTAGAAAAACAGACAGCTGCACATTTATTGCAGGACTATTGTCTGTAGAGAAAGTTGAGAACAATATGCTTTTTCAAGTCTAGCCCGAAGAAGACATGGTGTTGCTTACAATAGCTATCACCTAGTTATTTCATTGAAGATGAACCCTGACCTGTGGTTTAGTTCATTATGAGGATTTACCAAAATCTTCACTGAACTGTTATAGAATCATCCTGACTAAAGGCACAGTTTAGCTTTGGAAAGAACTTAACAAATTCTTTTTCTCCCCTTTCTTCCTCTTCTTTTCTTCTTCTTCTTTTTCTTCTTATTCTTCTTTTCCTCAGTGTTCACCAGCTCATAACTCTGGCAAAAAGTTCTGGTTGTTCGTCTACCTCTTGTTCCAGAACTTGAATTTTGCGTGCATACCATTTTACAGATCTACCTATTCGCATGCAGATTGCCGGCTCCTCAAGCAAATGTGCTCTGACTTTGGGCAGAAAATCCATAATTTGCAGAACTTTACGACATGCTTGTTGGGGGCAGTGGATCAATTCTTTTTATTTTTTACACCCAAATTAGGCCCCTGAACCTAAGCAAGAAAGCTAAACAAATTTAATTAAACCAATAGGAGGAAACAATCATCTTTTTCAGTGATCAACTTTTTCTGTTCCTCTACTATTCCAGCATGGGTCACAAAAATTAGAGTGCTTCACAAGTGCCCTACAGTTCACCTTTAGGGGTCAAGTCACTCATGTTGGCCAGATTTCTTCTCTTTGTCTTGCAAAATCTGTGCAGTCTTCTAGGACATGCTCTGGAATTAGCTTTAGTGCTCCACATTTGCATCTAGCACAATCAGTGAGACCTAGTTGATGAAGGTGTGTCTGAGTTTACAGCATCTCATTCTGTCTGAAAATTCTTATCTACAAATCTGAAGGCTCTAAAAGTTGGACTGTAAAGTAGACCTTGAGGCTATCTTGTTGTGGTAATAGACGAAGCTGTCGATTTCCTGCAATCATTCATCACTGCAAAGATTGTCAGTTGTATGATCTGATCCTATTTAATTATGATGAAAATGTTAAAAATGCAGATACTTACTTGACAAACACAAGATCCATTCAAATCGAGACATGTCCCATGGCCATTGCAGGGGTTGTTGATGCCACCAGGACATACTGGTGAATGGAGACAAAATTTGTCAGGTACATGACACACAAACTATTTGACACAATTATTTACATTAAATTATGTTAGATTCACATACGTGGACATGAGCTGGTTCATTATTATGCGTGTTTCTGTATATGGACATGCACTGATTCACTATTATGTGTGTGTGTCTGTATACAGTTATGTATTCGTTCCTGAACTCCTTCAGTACCAGATGCTTTCACAGGAGATGCCACAGCAAAGAAATGACCATGATGAAAATTCCATGATGAAAATCAGTAATGTGTTACTTTCAAAATGGCAATATACACAATGGTAATTATGCTTGGGGAAGCCCGATTTTGTTAGTAACTTCTAATTAAATGTTGTAAGTCAGACAGTACAATATGCTATGGAGGGAAATCAGGGAATAAAGTCGCCCACACACCAAGCGGTGCTTGGGGTCCCTTTATGGCTTTTGTTGTTGCCCTTCCTCAGTATCTTTATATCCCATTTTAGTGCCTGTCTGATGATTCTCTGCTCGTTTCTTGACTGACACGTTCAACCCCACCAGAACCATAAAAAGAGCGATAAACACCCTGTGACACAAAGTGCCATCATCCGGATGAGAAACCCCGTTAAACCCGTTATTTAGGACCCCGAAGACCGGGGTGAAGTTTTAAAGTAAAAACTTGCGTCTCATACTGGGACAGGAAACAAAATATAATTATGCTCGTTTCTTCTTGGACACGTCCAGTATAGCGCCATCTTTGACTTATACTGTTTGCTTTTACTTTTACTTACCAGAAAATGTCTCTGTATAATTCTTAGGTTTGGTGACATGATTTCAGGTCAATTATAAAACTGTGCCTCTAAACGGAATCGAACTCAAGACTTCGGATTCGGACAAGCTACTAGACAATATACTACCTCAGCTGCCAACATCGACTAGCTGTCGTAAAAATCTAGTCGTTTTACACAATAAAAAGAATTGTTGGTAACATTTCTGCAATGACACATGTGACATACAGACGTCAAAATGTGGACAGGTCGAAGACAGAATAATTCCCCTGCCTTGTCACGTTTTGAAACGCGGGGTTTTTCAGTTCCCTGACTGCTTGAGTTGTATTCAAGTGACCGTACAGAGCTTAAAAGTTGAACTGCCTATCGTTCACTCGCTGTTTTGTTTCCGTTTGTACCAATAACTGTCTGCATGCTCCCGTTAAGTTTGCTTGTAGCAGACTATTTTTGAGGCTATGTTGTTATTTTCTAGGTTAGTTGCGTATCCTTTACAGGACTTTGCAGAACCAACTTTAACAGCCCCTGACTGTTGTGTGGTTTTTCTAGGCAAATTTACGTCCAGTAGTTTGCCATTTCGGCTTTCTTGATACCACTGTCGAATCCAACGCAAGGCGCATGGCCCGCAGCTGGGATCGAACCCGGCAGCCCTGCATTACGAAGCGTTCGCATTGACTTAGCCACAGAGCTGACTGTTATCCTCTACTGTTCTTATTATTCGTCTATTTCGCCATTTTAGTTGGGTTTTTTTTAAGAGGGGAGAGGGGTGGCGCTAGCGTATTACCGACACCTCTTTAGACACATTTTCAGTGCCTCTGTGGTAAACATTATATAATAAGTACACTTATTTGAACACTTTCAGTACTATCAGCGTTTTTTTTTTTTTTTACCCCTAGGAAAATAGGCCTACCTAAATGTAATAATAGTCTACATTTTCTAGAGTAATTTTATTATTAACCTTAGCACCAACTTCTTCTTTCTCCTTCTCTTTTTCTTCTTCTTCATCGTAATCACAATCTTCTTATTCTTCTCCCCCCCCCCCCCACTTACCAATCTTCATCTGTAACCATCTCTAAAATGACGCCTGGCACATCGTGTCGTGGTTCCTATCTTCTTCTGCCTTTCTAGCTCCCAATGGAGCATAGACCCTCAACCAACTCACGCCAATTCGTTCTATCTGTTGCTGTCATATGCAGCTCTCCCCATGTCCTAAGTATCTTTCTAACTTCATTCTCCAGCTCCTTTCTCCATTTTTGTATGTGTGCCTTTCTTTATTCCTATGCCTTTGCGGGTTCTAATGCAAACACATTCTAGTAATATTGTTCTCCGGTTTTCCCAGTGTGTTGTCCTGTCCAACGTCAGCGTTTAATTTGAAGCCATTTGCGGCATGCTTTTTAAATCTCAATGGGTCTGTCCCTTTTTTTTTTTTAAATCCCACACGGAGAGTCATGCACTAAATGGCAATGTCATAGTGACATTCACTTGCATGCAGCCGACCCTATAAACTTTGTTCCTTGAAGTTACTGAAGGGTCGGACACTTCACAGTGCATGCCAGGTGCCAGGCCACAACACTACGTGATGAGTGATTTCTTCCTGTCCTCGCTATTGTCCCAAATCCTGTTTGTATCATGTAATTGAACAGAAGGCTGCATGTGGGCGTTGTGAGTGCTTAGACTGCCTGTCCTTCACATTCAGACCATTAGCTTTTCCAACACTTATCATTATCATCACCCAATCATTATTATCTAAAAATCATTATCTCTCATCATCATTATCTCTATCATCGTCGCCGGCTTCATCCCTTCACCAACATTAGGGTAATTAATATTTTGCAGATGCCCGGAACGAGGCCCTTTCCTCTAGCAGCCCTCCTGCCTCAAGCCAAATCTACCATTGACATGCCCAGTGTATGGATTGCGAACGCGTTTTCATAATTACTATATTCTGGGTTTTATTCAGCTTCAAGCTATTTTGGAAACATTCCCCTTTGCGCCTACCAGTCCCATGGTAAACTAATGAGACAATGTTATAGATGCAGAATACTAAGAAGAAAAATTAGTGGTGGTGGTGGTGGTGGTGGTAGCATTAGACAGTAGT